TTTTAATGTTAAAGTTGTAAAAAAAAAAAACAATGTAGAAAGAGAGAAAATTAAACTCAACTAAGTTTTCCACTTTAATGTTAGGGCCGGGCATTTAACTTAGATAGAGAGAATGCAAGTACCAAATCCTATTTCGGTGAAAAGGGATCAAATTTTCAATTCCAAAGTAGTATATCATGTCAATAATCTGTTGGGCGAGACTGGAGCACTTGAATCGTCACATATTTTTGTTGTCGTTTGTGAAAAATAGTTGTCAAGTGAATCCCCAGACCTATGAGTAGATAAGTATGAATGGCCTTGATCTGACTTAAATCAATATCTTGACGCTAAATTTAAAGCATGTTCTACACGGTGCTGAGTAGTTCCAACAATTATGAAAATGTCCACATATATCTCGTGTATTAGTGTAACATATATATATTTGTTATTACTATAACTGCACTGCAATTTTTTCACATTTGTCCCACGCATTTTCATTCGGAACCAAAAACATTTAAAGAAGATGAGTTCTTTAGAAAAGAAGATTACTCATTGCCTGTCAATTCCCCATGTTGTGCTTGTAAAAAATAGCATGTACATATATCTTCTTCAAGATCACCATTCAAAATGCATGTGAGATTTCTAACAAAGAGAGCCAAATTGGGCTTTGTTGTCAATGCTAATAACTATAGTTGTACTCCAATCTCCAAACCTCACATTTCTTGTCGATTATTATCAATATATAAGGCATTATTATGATTTAAGAGTATTTATCAATACGTAGGGTAATGAACTGGAAAAACGTTTAAAAGTTTGTGGTTCATACTTCATATCAATGCACCGATTGTAACATATCATTGTCGTAATTTATTTCCATCTGCCCAAAGCCCAAGTCTGGTCAGTGGTCGCATAGAAGAAGATTGCGGCAAAAAGCAATCGCGTAGATAGAACACGTGATTTTGTAAAAAGCTTGGAAAAATCAATACTGGGCTTTTTAATACTGGGCCGAGAGACCCAACGTCACTTTTTTCTACATATGCATACTTTTTTTGCAGGAACTCTTTTTAAAATATTGTATTATCTTGTTTGCCTTAACATTTATAGTATTACTATTTTCGAACCGGGAAAATATCTTTCAGGTATTCATGAAAATATCATTCATAGGCCACTCTCATTTTTTTTAGGATTTAGAACAAAATCCCAAAAGGAGTGACATAACATTACAACATTCGGAATAAAGTAGATAAAAACATTAAGGAAAAAACATTGATCAAAGGAGATTTAGTTATAACTATAGTTGACATTTTTATTTTAAAAAAGGAACGATAAGGGAGATACTTCAAGGGCATTTGGGTCCACCCTCTTGAGTTTTCCAGTTGTTGTAGCAAGAGCAAACTTGTTTGTTCCCATAGTAACCCGGAGGCACACAGAGACACTTTCTGCAGCATTTGTTACAGAACGTAATGCAAGCCTTGTGGTACTGTGTCTTTTTACACCTCCTATCGCATTCCGATGGGCATTCTGGTCATTTCAAATACAAACAAGTTCAAAATGTTAGTCAAAGTTTTTGTTTTTTTTACTAATAAAAACAAGGGTTCCCTAAAAACAACTGAATCTAGTGGAAATTCATAACTTTTTTTTTACTGTTTTTGTGGGTCTCAAGACAGTGGGTTGCTTTGACTCTATGACCACATTAAGGGGCAATTTCGTCAAAATATTTGAGTCTACGGATCTGACCAAACAGTCCACTTAACATTTCACTTTAAAACTTATTTTATGCAATCGAAATGCTTAATTTTTTTTGTTTATAACAAAATAAAATATTTCTTTTCTCTATTACTTAACCATCGATTTGTTTTTTGTCATCGAATATAAATTTAAAAATATTTTTGTTTAGTTGTGAAGAAAACACTTACGGTAACGTTTCAGGCTTCCTGGTCCATAACGTTTCTGAAAATTAACCAAAAAAAAAAAGTAAATACTTTTCGTTAAGTTACGAGATAACAATAGGTATAAAATATAGTTTAAAAGGTATTTATTAGTCGATTTCAACAATAAAACTTACCTGGCTCCACTTCACATTAGATCCACTTGAGGCCATAACCTTAAAAAAAAAAAAAAAGAGGAGAAACAAGTACAATTAATTTCATTATAAAAGGTAAATCAAATATATATTCAAACAAAAGTAGCGTAATAGAAGTTATAGAACCCACATTTATCTCATATCTTTCGTTAAGAAGGAAAAAAAATCAAATATATATTCAATATTTTCAAACATTGAAAGAAGAAAAAAAATAGAGATGTTACAATGGTTTGAAGCATGAAGAGGACAATGAGGGCCAGGAGGAAGATAGCTCCACATGACTTAGCCATTTTCCGTTTAGGATATTGTTATCCAAAGAACCAAACACTCCTCTAAATCTCCTCAAACTAGTTTTGGTATCTTTTTTTTTGTTTGAGGTATGAAAAGAAGTGTGCTCAGAGAGGAGTTTTGGTTGAGGACCCAATGATGTTGCATATAAGCTATATATACACATAGTTGGTTGCTCGTATCAATTATTCCCTGTGGCAACACATATTGTTATTACCATATCCCTCCAATTATATTCTACCACGTATGCCTCCAATGTTAGTCCTCACTTTATTACTTGCTGCTATTGGTAAAGTGTGGTTGGATGGTTTGCACATGGTTGAAGAAAGCTTATAGTAGTAATTACTAATTACATAAAATATTATGAACTTTTTTAATAACTCAATTTTTGCTTATAAGAACTTTAAATATTCTACATTGTATGTTTTGTTTGATATAGCTTATAAGTTTACAATCTTACTGATTAGTAGCTTAGTATATTTTTTCCAACATCATTATATTACGTAGATGGGTTAAAGTTAAACAGACCAATCGAAAGAACATTGTTTAAGTAGCTATCTACATTTCATTTTATTGAAGAAAACCAAACAAAATCTGTATTTGCATCTAGCTATGATTTCATAGAAGAAAATTGAAAAAGGGTTGATTTTGTGGCTTTAAATTGGGTGCTTGCTTGGTGGGATATATTGTAGAGTCTTTTTTTTTTAACCACAAATACATTATCAGGGTTTATAAAAGATATGTGACATTGTAGTTTAATATGATTTAAAAAAGGACGGTGCATTGAAGAAGGAGATGGGAGTTAGATCTGACCAAACGGTCCCAACTGTAAATTGTAATCACAATCTTACTATACTACACTACTATAGTACTATTAATTAATAGTTAATACCATTACTTGTTGACGGATCATGAATAATAAAATTTTAGAATATAGTCAAGATAATTTCTTTAGGTAGTCAAGATAAATTCATTACTCTAATTCTTCTAATGTTTTCTAGAGACGAACCAGAGATCTAGATCCGATGTTAATAATCAGAATGTTTAGATTGATTGATTTGCAGATTTCAATCATCAAATTTGTTTTTGTTTGTTTGTCAATCAAGCATCAATCCTATAGATGAACAAATTCGTGGTAAAATGAAATACTCTTTTAGAGAATTATGATTTAGATACCACATTTTTGTTACAACTGATTTAAGACATTACAAAAGTGCATGGAACCTTAAAACACAGGTAACGATACAGTACCACTAGACATATCAAGTTGGGAAATGAAAGAAGAATCACATTAATGAAAGAATAAGCAACTTGAAACACACATAAGCAACAAACTAAACTTATATATGCGCACACATGCATAAATGCGCATTATTCACATCCCAACTTGAATATCAGATCATATAAAGTTGTACAAAAAAAAGTTTGAAAAAGAAGAAAGAAAGAGAAGGCATGTGCAGTTTTAGCCAGTTCCACATGCTCATCCAATTATTGTTTTTGAGTCGATCTGCTCGGAGAAAAGGAGGGAACATTGGGATATTTTTTTTGGTTTCAATAAGAAATGTTATCTTTTCTAATAACGAATAAAGTCATTTTTTTACACAAATAATAAGAAACGTAACAAAAAAAAAAGTAAGTAAATGATAAAATGTATTTAGCCATATCAATTGGCGAAAAACAAGGATTACCTTCGTTACTATATGATGTATATAGGATATATACAAATGTATAAAAACATAAGAGAACTTGTAAGAAATGATAATGAATAAGCTTAACTTCAAGTTGAAGTGTATAATCTAGCTTTAATTTTAGTATTTTTTAATAAGTGTATAATCTCCTCTTTGCGGATGACAGCATGTTCTATTGCAAAGAGAAGGATGAAGAACTAAATCAGCTCAGTAGAATTGTGGAAGAATACAGCCTGGCATCGGGTCAAAGGGTGAACTACCAGAAGTCCAGCATCACTTTTGGCAAGCATGTCCCAGAAGAAAGAAGAATTGAAATTAAGAGGCAGTTGGGAATAGAACAGGAAGGAGGCCAAGGAGTTTACTTAGGACTGCCTGAGTCTTTTAAAGGATCAAAGGTAGCTATCCTATCTTATCTACGAGAGAGACTCCGACAAAAAGTCTCTAGCTGGCAGAATAACTTCTTATCCCCAGGAGGAAAGGAAGTGCTCTTAAAGGCTGTCGCCATGGCCCTTCCCACCTACACGATGGCTTGCTTCAAACTCCCTTCCACAGTCTGCCAACAAATTGCCTCAGTAATGGCTGAATTCTGGTGGAAGAACAAGAAGGATTCAAGAGGAATGCATTGGAAGGCCTGGGATCAATTGAGCAAACCCAAATCTGAAGGGGGTCTAGGATTTAGAGACATTGAAGCTTTCAACATTGCTATGTTAGGGAAGCAGTTATGGAGGATAATCACCAAAAAAGAGTCTCTATTGGGAAAAATCTACAAGAGTAGATACTTTAGTAACTCCGACCCATTACTAGCTCCATTAGGATCCCGGCCTTCTTTTGCCTGGAAAAGCATTCATGCTGCCCAAGAATTGATAAAACAAGGTTTAAGAATTGTGGTGGGCAATGGAGCATCTACAGAAATCTGGCAACACCAATGGCTCTCAGCCAAACCAGCAAGAGGAGTGCAGGCAGTGAACTGGAATCAACAACAAATCTGCAGATCAGTGGCTTCTCTTAGGTATGTTAAAGACCTCTTGGTCGCTAATGGAAGAGAGTGGAATATGGACCTAATTCACACTGTGTTCCCAGAAGTAGTAGTTCAGCAGATTGTCCAAATTAGGCCCGGGGGTCTTAATACAGCAGATAGTTTTGCTTGGGATTACTCAAATGATGGGCAGTATTCAGTGAAGTCTGGATATTGGGTACTCATGGAAGTTATTAGGCGCAAGAATAGGCCACAAGAAGTGCTCCAACCAAGTTTAAATCCAATCTTCCAACAAGTTTGGAAAACAGATGCGTCTCCAAAGCTACAACACTTCCTTTGGAAATGTGTAAGTAATTGTCTCTCAGTGGCGGGCAACCTATCTTATAGGCACTTAGCACGGGAGGGTTCATGCATTCGATGCCCATCACAAGTAGAGACGGTTAACCATCTGCTGTTTAAATGTGCCTTTGCTCGATTAGTATGGGCCATATCTCCCATACCAGCCCCTCCAGGTAGTGAATGGTCTGACTCTCTCTACCAAAATATCTACTACCTGCAGAATATAAACCAGGAGCATCCCCAGATGAATCCCGAGGGTTGTTTAGCTCCATGGATCTTATGGAGGCTGTGGAAGAGCAGAAATGATTACATTTTTAAAGGGAGAGAAATTTCAGTGCAAGAGGTAATACGAAGAGCAAAGGAGGATGAAGAGGAATGGAGAATGAGAAAGGAACAAAGCAGCCAGCCACCTCAGGTGGTCATAACTAAGCAGCACAGAGCTAAGTGGAAATCGCCACAACCAGGCTGGGTGAAGTGTAATACAGATGGTGCCTGGAAGGCCGAAAGCATAAATTGTGGCATTGGTTGGATTTTACGGGATCATGAGAAGAAAGTGCTGTGGCTGGGAGCAAGATCCTTACCTCGGGTTGGAAAAGTGCTGGAAGTTGAGGTTGAGAGTCTTAGATGGGCTGTCCTTTCCATGGCTCGTTTTAACTACCGCAAGGTGATCTTTGAGACTGATTCTCAACAGCTTGTGTCTTTGATCAGGGGAGAACAAGAAAACAATCACCTAAATCCAATGATCCAAGACATTAAGCATCTCCTACAGCAATTCGAGGAATACAGAGTGGAGTTCACGTTTCGAGAAGGCAATGGTGTGGCGGATAGAATAGCAAAGGAGTCTCTTTCTTTTGAGAATCATGATCCTAAGTTGTATTCTATAATGCCAATGTGGATTAAACCCTTTGTGGACATAGACAATATGTAACTGATTATGGGATAATATAAAGTTGAAGTTGAGTCAAAAAAAAAAAAAAAAAAAGAATGTGCTAAACCAGGCTAGACATATCTACTAATGTAGAAGACATTTGTAGCTACTGATTCCCCTAATCTTTCTGAACTATAGGAATCTTGAAGTTTGATTGATAAAATAATTGGTGTGACACAAAATTTATTACAAGGGTTAATATAAGAAACTAGTAGGGTCAGGGTACGGCACGGCAAAGCACGGACCGTAGGACCATTGAGATACAAAAAAAGATTTCAAAGCATGTGATGGATCACATGGATATTGATTATTACTGTCTAACAAAATAAACTTATAGATCATGTCAAGTTGTTCTTCAAACACATGCATATAGAATTATAGATATAGATTAAGAAAATTATAACATTTTCTTATTAATGTTACAAGAAATAAAAGATAGTGACCATCCATCATTCATGATGTCAACTTGTTCACACATACATAAACCTAAGTTATATACAAGACATTTGAGATATTTTTAATACTTTGGCTAGATTTGGTTTCTTTTCCAAAAACCAAAATTTCAACGGATCCATTATTTTTTTTTGTTGTGTCAAAATTTTGAAAAACAAAATAATTCGAACTTATGCAAGTGTAAAATCACAAAATACTATGCAAATTCGTAATTATTTTTCATTTTTTGACGCAAATGAAAATGTAGGGGTGATTATGTAAACAAATGGAAACATCACGACCCTCTTGGCGTATAGTTGACACTTGACAAATAAGGGTTTTGGAGTTAGGGCTCTTTCCTTCCTAATCGCGCTTCCGTCGCCGTCGACATTTTACTCGCCGTCGTCATCTCCGATCACGCTTGTCATCGTTCGCTATCTACCGGAATCGAAATTTTCCGGTAAGTTTCTTCCTTTCTTATTAGCATATCCGTCGAGAGTTTCGATTCCATCCTGGTCGGAAATTCTCGGATTTGATCGCGAATTCGGAAAATTAGGGTTTTGATCGGATTTTAATTATGAAATTCGAACATTGGAATCGAATCTGAAATGTAATAGGTATTGAGGTCAATAGGTGACATGTTTGTGACAATGGTGCAGTTTCGAGTGTGGAAGAAAAAAACTCCATTTGCTTAAGAAATTATTTGAAGAAATGGTTTTGTATGGTATTGATGTTTGAGGTGGTCTTTGTTGTTTGCAGATTCCTGAAAAATGAATTTCTTAAACTCAGCAGCATCCATTTGCAGAAGAGTTAGTTTGAGGGAACTGATCACTGAGGTTCCTGCTTATAGTGGCAGTAGCATTTCCGGTATATACCCTATCAATCTGTTTTTCTTAAGGCTGCTTTAGCGGTTTTTCGGAATCTCGGTCTGTGTGTTTGATAATCTTTTGGGATTAACTCCTTTGTGGTGTTGTTGTTTCTGTTTTGGGATGTTAAAGATGGTTCTTCAAGTGGGTTGAGTTTGGTTTTGAAGCGTTGGGCTACTAAGAAAACCGCTGGTTCTACAAAGAACGGTCGTGACTCTAATCCTAAGTTTCTCGGTGTTAAGAAATTCGGAGGAGAGGTAAGAAAATATTAACGAGGTAGATAAGATTTTGATAATCAAATCAATCTTGGTCCGTCTGTGTGGAGAAAAATAATGTTTTTGTGTGTCTGTGTGTGATTTTGCAGAGTGTGATACCTGGAAACATCATAGTTCGTCAACGTGGAACTCGGTTTCATCCTGGAGACTATGTCGGGATCGGTAAGGACCATACTCTGTTTGCATTGAAGGAAGGACGAGTCAGGTTCGAGAAAAGCAAGATAACAGGACGCAAATGGATTCATGTTGATCCAACAGGTGGTCATGTTCTTCACCCTATCTACAGAAAAGCTGCAGCTGCAAAATCGACTAAGTTGAAGACAGCTTCGTAGTCGTGAAAACACATTGATTCAACCATCTAAACGTGTCTTCGTTTCTTTTCATATGATCTCTCGAGTACAAGATGATGGTATCTTAGAACAGCAACACTCAGTTCAATAACATCTGCTGTTTTGTTTCCCTCTAATCTCTGTCTGGATTTTGATGATGGGCTTCTCTGGATTCAACAAATCAAGTTTTTTTTCGGAAATAGATGTTAAATCAAATCTGAAATTCTCTCATATGTGTTATCGTAGTTAATGATATTCTTATCGTTTAGATGACAAACAAATTACAATCCTCACTCAATTTTTGTTGTTGTTGTTGAATGAATCCTCACCAATTGATAATGATTTCATCTGTTTTCTCGGCCCGTAATAAACCCATCGAATAATGGGCCAACGTTTTAGGCCTCAGGCTTTGGCCCGTTAACGCAGCTAGATACGTTAATTGAAATCAGATCGGGTTCAAATCAGCTTTGTTTTTGGCATAATGTGAATTCAAGAGCCAACAACTTGTTTTAGTCATTAAAACAGTTTCCTCAAATTCTTCTCAAGTTGTCATGCACATCATCAATATTTAGTTTTTGAATAATTTTTTCTTGTCTTTTACACATTCAATATAATATTCCAAAACAATACAATTAAACTAAAATCATTTCGTTTGTCACAAAAAAGAGAGAAGAATATGTCATTTTTTCACAAATCTTAAGGACAGTCCAAATTAATGCATACTAACCACCCATACGATACACTCATCCTATATGAATAATCCTTCCAATTGCATTTGCACAGATACATATAGTAAGGTATGTGTGTTGTGTATATAAGACATATACAGGCATAACATATAATAATATCGCGATTATAGTAAAAAATCAATCACAGATAGATCAAATAATTGCGTCAGAAAATATATCCTGAAAATACTAATTAATATTATCCTTGTTATGGGCATAAAGCTTATTTAATGTCGGTTTGCCTTGTTCTTCCTAACTAAAGAAAGAGTAAGGAGCCTTATAACTATTTTTAAAACAATAATATAGGTGTGTATATTATTTTGTTGTCTACGAAATCTATAGATAGTCCATAGTCGTAGTGAGGTAATAATTAAGACCAATCAACAAACAAGTTATATCCAAATGCTTGAAATTTTGATCAGTTGATACGGTGGTTCCCTATTTTGGTTATGGTAAGTCGTGCATGTCGTAAAATACTGTATACCGACATTAATTAAGTATAATGTAAAGTTCAATGTATTTGAAAAGAAGAGTCTTCGCTAACAAACGAACATGGTTCGATTAGGCAGCGCCATGTTGCATGATATGGACGCGTGTTAGCTGTTTGGTGTTTAGACAACTTCATTAGTCAAAGTTAACGATTACGCTACTATAGTACTATCAAATCTTTATGAGAGTTTTTGTTAAAGAATTATTAGTAGTTATTCATTTACTAGTAATGGATCCGCAATACGATCTTAGGATTGTCCTAGGCTTCTCTGATGAAAGACTTTTATACAGCATTAAAGAAGTTTGGAGTAAACGGCATCGTTCTTCACCACTGCTCGTGTCAGCTTTTTTTTTCTTTTCGTTGTGGTCTCCTTTTCTTAAGGCCACTTTAACCGTCAACATGAATAACCAATAAACATTTTTGAGTTAATTAATGGAGTAGTTGAGAAGTACTTAAATTAAGCAAGTCATATTTCTTTTGTAAATAGAGTAGCTTTTAAGGTTGTAATTTGCTATTTGGATAGTTTTTCGACATAAGATTGAAGACAAATCATGTTGCTATAAAACTTATTATAACTAGGGAAGGTCGAGATTTAAACTTATTCTAAACTTATTATAACTAGGGAATTTGTCTTCAGCTTAAATAACGAACGATGATAGTAATTGAAAGGTAACCAAAAAGAAAACTAATAGTATTGATAAAAGTTTGAGTATATTATTAAAGTTGTCAACGTCATGGAGATACAAATTTAGCAAAAAGAAAAAGACATGACTCACATTAGATGCTGTTCTATGAACTCTATTTATTAGCCTATATTTATTACACTTATCTTTTTTATTAACCCTAGGGTGGGGTCAACAAACCATGGTTAAAAAAAAATGTTCAAGCAAAAAAAAAAAGCAAACCCCATAATGATTATGAATCTCAACCACACAAGTTGGATTTCTCATTATCAACAGTCTTCAACTTCTCATCTCTTTCTTCCTCCATCAGAGACTTGAGTAATAATACATATTTTTAAATTTCTCCTTCTCTAATCTTGTATATGTCCCAAATACATAAACCCATAACCACTAAATTTCACAAAGATTTAATTCGGCTTCACAATTAATAAACAGTTTGTTTAGTGCAATCTTTACCTTATCTTCACTTCTCATCTATTCTTCTTCTTCCTCCATCTCTAGAAAATCATAATACCTTTTGTTTCTTAAATCTTATTTGTATTCCAGTAACCAAAACCCATCTCAAACATTTCAAGTTCACAAAACATTTGTTTTTGAAACCCTAAATGTTTTGAGTTGTCATGGATGTAATAGCTACTACAACTACTATAGTATCCGACTTGGATTCACGACAACCCGAAATCGAAGCTCCGACCCGGATCCAGCCCGCGAAGCCTATTTCTTTCTCCAACGGCAAACGCTGCCACCACCATCATCTTGCGTCTGAAGCGGTTGCGGTTGCGACTTATAAAGAATGTCTAAAGAATCATGCCGCAGGAATAGGCGGTCACGCTTTAGACGGATGCGGCGAGTTTATGCCGTCTCCGTCGTTTAACACCAACGAACCCTCGTCATTAACGTGCGCCGCCTGCGGTTGCCACCGTAACTTCCACCGCCGCGAAGAAGATCCAGCTTCTCTTTCCGCCGTCGTCCCAGCGATCGAATTTCGTCCTCACAACCGTCACCAGCTTCCTCCGCCTCCTCCTCCTCATGCGGTGGGAATTCGTAGTCCAGACGATGATGATTCAGCTTCTCCGCCGCCGATCTCGTCTTCTTATATGCTTCTTGCACTCTCCGGAGGAGGAGGAGGAGCTAACACGGCGGTTCCGATGTCTAGGAAACGTTTTAGGACGAAGTTTAGTCAGTATCAGAAGGAAAAGATGTTTGAGTTCTCGGAGAGAGTTGGGTGGAGGATGCCGAAAGCTGATGACGTGGATGTTAAGGAGTTTTGTCGGGAGATTGGAGTTGATAAAAGCGTTTTCAAAGTGTGGATGCACAACAACAAGATTTCAGGACGCGGCGGAGCTAGAAGAGCTAACGGCGGAGGTGTAGGAGGAGGAGGAGGAGATAGTCGTGAGAGTGTTGTTCCGACGAATGGGTCGTTTTCTTCGACGTGAGGAAAAGAACGGAAAACGTTGAAAAAGCGTCGCCGTTTTAGAGGCTAATTCTTTTTTTAGTTTTTCATTTTGTGTTTTTATTGTTATTTTTTTTTTAGTCAACGGGTCAAATCTTTTTTCTATTCCACTTTCATAAGTGTTTTGTTTTGTTGTGTTTTTTAGTAGTTTATCTTTGTTAGAGAGGGTGATTTGAGATGTAGCTTTCGAACAAATGTGAGAAAGATATAAAGAGTAACCTCCAAAAATTAAATAGCAAAGTGAATTAATCCAATTGGTTTCTAAATTTCTATATCATACATTAGTACTAAAAGAAGAAAAAAACAGTTCTCTTTCTGTTTATTTTCGATGCTAGTAGTTAACTCGTGTGTATCAGATTAGATGGTAAGATACAGTTATCCAATATGATTAAGAGTTGGTAAGATTAGGGACTACGTTAGGTTAATATGATTGGATACACCACTAACTTATAAAATATTCTTGCTGTTCTATTAAGGCAAGACTGGTAAAACATCTCAAAATCCTGGCAATTATTAGATTTTATGATATAGATCTAAATGTCAAAAGATATGTAAAATGACATTCTTAGGTACCACTATTCGGTGCATAAAATAAAACGGTACCACATTATTCGCATAAGAGAAAAGAATTCGTAAATTTGGTAACAAAGAATACTAAGCCCAAGCCCAAGCACAACTTAAAAAGGGCCAACAAATAAAGCCTTAATTCATAAAGGCCCAATTAAAAGTGAGAGTGTAGCATTAGGGTTTTAAGAAATCCTATAAATTAGGTCATCCGTCTCCTTCGTTCCTCTCTGCGTGCCCTAGTATTTCAGATCGCCGATTTTGCAGTAAGGAGACGAAGATATGGTGCACGTTTGCTACTACCGCAACTGTAAGCTTCTCCTCTCCTTCGTCTCTTAGATCATTGCTCATTTCCGATTCGATCCACATAGTGATTACTCTTCGAAATGAATAATAGATTAGTGATTTTCTGAGGTTTTTGATTTCTCTATGTATGTAGTCATCTAGAATATGATAAACAATGGTTTCTGAATCTGGGTTTTTGTAAAGTCTGGATTTTTAGTTTCTTTAACGAATCAAACCTTAAGATCTCTTCCTTGTTACTGATAATTTTGTATGAATGTGTGTTTTTGCTGTTGAATAGATGGAAAGACCTTCAAGGGACCACGTCGTCCTTATGAGAAGGAGCGTCTTGACTCTGAATTGAAGCTTGTTGGTGAGTATGGTCTGCGTAACAAGCGTGAGCTCTGGAGAGTGCAGTACTCTCTTAGCCGTATCCGTAATGCTGCTAGAGATCTTTTGACTCTTGATGAGAAGAGTCCAAGAAGGATCTTTGAAGGTGAGGCTCTTCTCCGTAGGATGAACCGTTACGGGCTTCTTGATGAGAGTCAGAACAAGCTCGATTACGTCTTGGCTTTGACTGTTGAGAACTTTCTTGAACGTCGTCTTCAGACTATTGTGTTCAAGTCTGGTATGGCTAAGTCTATCCATCACTCTCGTGTCCTCATCAGGCAGAGGCATATCAGGTATTGCATCTCTTTGATTCATTTGTGCTTGAGTATGAGTTTTATCTTTATTATATCGAATTGGTGGATCTGAATTGAAATTACCATTTTTCTGTTTTCATTTCGTGTTGGCTTGTTTTTCTTGAAAGTTTTGACACTTGTGTTCACACATCTTCAAACACTGTCTCTTTGGTCTGAACGATTACAATCTCTTATGATTAGTTTGGTTTCATGTCCTGCCTTTTGTTGCGCATCTCTATTTGGTTTTTGATTTTCCTTCAATTGTTGTCTTGATTGGTCTAATACAAGTCTTGATTTGGATTTGATGATTGTTTTGACATTTTCTTAAAAATTGGTTACTCATCTTTTTTTGGGTGTTATTGTTGCAGGGTTGGAAAGCAATTGGTGAACATTCCATCATTCATGGTGAGACTTGATTCACAGAAGCACATTGACTTTGCTCTGACCAGTCCCTTCGGTGGTGGCCGTCCAGGAAGAGTGAAGAGAAGGAACGAGAAGTCTGCCTCCAAGAAAGCCTCTGGTGGTGGTGATGACGGTGATGACGAAGAGTAAATCTAAAGTCCCATCGTTTTAGCTATGAAGCAATCTGCTTTTTGATATTTTGTAGTATGCAACTTTGTTGTTCGTTTTCAGAGGATTGTTTTATGGTTTCTTTCTTTTACTCTCGAGATTGCTGAACCTTTGGGTTATCTATTTATCTTTTCAAGTTTTGGCTTATTCCTCTAGCTATCTTGATAATTAAGCTAAATATACCGAGCCATAAAATTTGATTATCGTTATATCTCTTAAATTGTTAATTATGGCACTTGAAATATTCACAGTTTAGTCTAATACATAATTGTTAGGCCCAAACTGAATTCTTCGGCCCATCAACTTTGCAGTGTTTGGCCTTTCTCTTTTTAAATTTTAGTGATATCAGAATATCACCGTCCGCGATTATACAGATACACTCACTGCCATTTGTTTCCCAACCGTCGGTAATCTCGTAAGTCCTAACACACGTGTTACATGCGAACCACGTGGAAACCATAGTCCATAGTAAAACAATTTTATACCATTATGGGCATGATTGGCAAGTTCTTTAGAGTCTTTACAAAGCAAAAAAATTACTAAAGCATTGAAATAGATCCAATCAAGCTTTAGAAGCTTTAGCTTTCCTTTTTTTTCTCACAGCCAAAATATTTCCATAATTAATTTTTTTTGCTGTAGAAAGCCTTTTTTTCTAAAGCATACAATTTTCAACTTTCCAAAATTTTAAATGTTACAGCAAAAATACTACAACACTAAAATCTACAGTCACAGCCAAAACATGTACAGCCTAAAATCTACAGTCAAAAATCTACAGCTACAGCCTGAACCAATCAGGCCCATAAATATTTTGTTTATACATAAAAGATTCAAGCAACGGTCGGCTATTCCGACACGTAAATGAAAACAGTAGTATCATTATCATTATCATTATTCATTAATCCCTCGATGAGAGACAAGCAAATCAATCCCATTTTCACACGTATTTAAACTTTGAAATCGCCTCTTTTATGATTATGTTTTTGGCGTCTACATTTTATGATTGATTATGAAAATCTACCGATAGAGATGTGTATGAGTGTATCTTGTCATTTTTACATTTTAGTATTACCAATCATTCGACCATCATAATTCCGTTATTATTACAATAAGAAATTTGTAGTTAAATAGTTACATCTCCACGAAAAAATTGAAAGAATTAGTATAAATATAATTGTGTAGTTGTTTAGTCGGTATTCGGTATAAACCTTTTCATAACCTTAAAGTGAAATTTCAAATTTCTTTGTTTGACTCTCCATCTATTGCAAAGAACAATCTATTTCATATGTGTATACAATTAATAAAATTTATGCAACATAGATCTGCTAACAACCTTTTGTAAGAAAATCAATTAACCATAAAAATCTATTAAATGCTATATGAACTATGATATTACAAAATATCTGACATCAACAAATAAAAAAATCCGAAATAACCTCCATCTGTTCAAAATAACATGGAGCTTGATAATGTTGTTTCATAAAAACAAAATCTAAGAGAGATTTTTTAGGGAACGACGTGGCACTAATCCTTTGGAAGTTTTATTGAAACTATATGAAAGATGCCGAAGAAAACGGCGCCGGATTTGGTCGTCGTTTTCCAGATCCGATATCCTCTTCTTCCACACGTCTCGTCTCATCTCAATCTCACCGGTCAAACAACACACAGAGACAAATCCGTTCCACACATTTTCTTTAAACCGGCTAAATCTCATTATCCACGTGGCAAAACCTCCATGGTTTGTTAAACTTTCAAGTGACGTCATCAAAACCGACACGTCAAACAGTAACCGTTTTTAACTAGTTCACTAGTATATAACTATATATATATAAATAAGCTCCGTTTCACATGTCTTTCACAGTTCACAATAACTTTTCAAATTTCGAATTTCGAATTTTTGCTCTTCACAAATCTCTCTCTATATAAACGATGATGACGATTCGAGGAGGAGGAGGACAAGCTGAATCGTGGCCGGAGATGGAAGCGATAGCTAGGAAGATGGTTGAGGAAGTTGAAACAGAGAGCAGCGGATCATCGGAAGCTGAGACGGAGTCTCCGAGATCCGTCGGACGTTGGATCACAGCTAAGGACCGAGTTCATAACCAGGTTTTGAAGATTAGGGAAGAGGATCTATGTGTTCTTGTTGAAGATAAAGCTGCGAATCCAGAGGATCGACGATATCTCCGTCCACGTCGTCTTAGTCTGTTTCTGATCTCGCGGCCGAATCTACCTTGTTCTCCTCTTAGTGGAAAAGTGAGATCCGTTAACGCTGTTCAGAGTCAGTGATGATGATGATTCCCAGATCTAAATCGATCAAGGTTCGTCTCTCTCACTCTCTGTTTTGTGATCGATCGATCCAACAAATTACACTGATCAAGCTTGAATTTGATCTGAATTACACTAATTTTTGCAGGTGATATGTCCTCTCTGTTTTCTTTCAATTTCTCTGCTTTTTTTTTGTTGCTTTTGAACTTTATTTGTTGTTTCGTTTTGTTTATGGAAGATCCGTGTTTAGAGAGTGAGAGCCTTTTTCTGGTCAAAATGTCATTGTGTATATAAACCATGAACGTGTATATATGAGCTCATGAAACTTTATGCTCTACTTTTTGTTTACCTATATGATCACTCTCCATGTTTCATGTATGCGTTTGATTTATCAAAACTACATACGTACACATGTAATCGTATACTATGGGCTATGGCACAAATTTGAAATGATTAGACTCATAACATTAAAAAAAATCCATAATTATTGCCACCTAATTAGAGTTTTAATTCTAAATAAATACTTGACAGTGAAGATAAGGTCGACTAATTGGGAACTATTTTTACCAGTTAAAACATCATAATTCCTTATTTTAATAAAAACTTTACTATTAGTATAAGGCAACAACGTTTATACAAATAACAAAACGGATTGAAATAAAGCGAAAGGAATTTATTTTTTTGAATTAAATAAAATAATCTCAAAAGATGGCAGAAAACAAAATTCAACAAATCGAAAGAGTTAGAGGTTTCTTCTGTGAGATTTCTTCTGTGAAACCAATCTCACAGAAATTTCTTCTTCACTTGACATAATCGGATTTTACAGTTTAACATTCCATTGTATAATACACATTTCCACACGTTATTCTTTAAGAAAAAAACACAAACATATATATTAATAATCACAACGCAGTCTCACAGACATATCTATACTTAATTAACCATTCTGCACTTCTTGCGAATTTCCCCAACCTGACCTGTTAAAACTCCAATACGACCCATCTTTACCATAGAGACACCAAAGTCTTTAAAGAAAGTAGAGCCATCACTTTTCACCAAATTCTTGAGAACATAAGACTTAGTTTCTTGATTGTCTAACAGAGCTGCATCAGATTGAAACAACCCTCTTCTTTGAGACACAAGCTTGAAGTAGCTTTCATCGAACGTTTTGAAGCTTCCTGGATCCATTTCTAGAGCCGTCGTGGTATCAGTTGGCTTGCATTTTCTTCTTAGGTTGGCTGCGTATTCCGTGTCTAAGTTCGGATCACTATCTCCTTTGCCGGTGAAATTGTAGAGCCGGTTTGTGATTTGAGGACAATGTCCGTGCCCAATTGTGTGCCCACCTATCAAAATGTAAATATATACAAATAAGTTGAGAATGATTTTATTTTTAGTATTTTATAACTGGAGATCCCAAGCCAGATAATAATGTAGAAGAACGAGTATACTTGTTAGTTGCTATTAAAAGAGTCCAAAATAGTCAAACAATGTTTGGAAAATAAGAGAGAAAATATTGTTCAAATAACACGGCACTTTAGTTATTTGATACATCGTTCACGTATAATTTAAAGAATTTTCTGATTCTATAACATACCTGAAAGCACAACGAGGTCTTTCTTATCGAGGCCTTTGGACTGGAATTGAGTGATAAGGCTACTGATATTATTAAATGGTGATGGTAAGTTTGATAAGGCCTCATTGATGTTTGTAACCAGACCGTCTCTTCTTCCCGTTTCAACCTCCCACGACGGTCCATTGAGCTGAATATATATTGATTGGTATACCATAAAAATACATGTATAAAAATCCAATATATCATACATAAAAGATTTTATGGATTATATTTTCTCTAATATCAGTCAGAAAATCTCATATCGAAACATTAACTAGCTAGTCTCTAGAGATTTTAAGTCAAGTGCATTTTGTAGCATTAAAAAAAGGACGTCCAACCTAATTTATGGAGTCTATAATTGCCATGTGAACTTTGTAGTATTAGAAAAGGAGCGTGTAATAAAGATACCGTGAGAACTTTAATTATCAATAAATAAATAAAGATACCGTGAACTCTGACCAAATTATTAGATCACTAACTTGATAGTAAAAATTTATACTTACTGCAACCATTGCGTCTCTAGCGACAAGAGCCAATACATCAGAGCAAGAAACAATGCCCGGACACTCCTTTTCTAGAGCTGCCTTGGCATTGTCTATGATCTCAAATCCTCGAAGGGTGAGGTTAGGAATTGCGTTTTTCTCATCTTTTTTGTTCTTTAGCTCTAGCAAGACCGACCCTTCGCATCCCTAGAACATCATGATTCAATCATTAGATCATAAGGTGCCAAAACCAAAAAGACGAAATGGAAATTCAGGATCTCAAGAAAGGACATTACCCGAACAAAGCAATCGTGGAAGAACATTCTGAGCAAAGGAGCTCCAAGTGTCAGATCCTTCTTCACTGCCTCGAAGACAAACTTCTTGACAATAAGCTCGGCTTTCGGGCATGCCTTGTCGTAGAACCCAACTTTCAATCCTTGCACAGTTGTTGGAGCAAATAAAGAGAGCAAGCACGATATTACTTGAAGGAAAAAGAAACAAGAGATAGTCATCTTCAAAGCAGCCATATTAGTATTATTAGCTTCTCTTTTTTGATAATAATTGGGTTAAGATTGTTGTTGTTATTTATACTAACGTATACTTGTGTTTTGTGTAATAATGTCACGGAAGTTAATATGTACTATAGTTTAAGTTTGATATACAAAAATACAAATGTTCGTGGTTACAGCATTGCATTTTAAAGACCCAAGATATGGAATATTTTGTAAATTTGTTGAATTATATATCGTTGTTTGTGGAATATATCTAGTTTTTATTTGTTTATGGCTTATCGGCTTGCTTGATGTATATTACTATTAAAACCAGAAAAAGGCTGCCAATAATTTTAAATAATGAAAGAATAACCAACATAAACCTTATTAATTTTTTGTTATAAAATTTGGTAATATTCAGATCATTTCGTCAACTAGGTATTGAAATGAATAAAAAACACTTGATAACGAATAATGGTAATTTGTCGATAACTAACTTGAAACTGACAAGTAAACCACAAGAAAAAACTATATTATACGTTTAGTAACAATTAAAATGTAACACAAACCGTCCATATCTATCTAATTTACACGTAGACAATGGCTGGTAGGTGGGAGAATTAACAATGAACAATATTGCTTGTGATATTGGACTTCTAAACTGACAAAGTGACAATGATACGGTAGGAGGACAAAATAATACTACATCTTAAAATTTGTTTAACATAATTTAATTAATATTCTTTTGACAGTATCTTACAAACTCGTTGGACTTAAACTACATTGTTTAATCTTTGGACTTGATCAAAACAATTATTTTGTCCCCGTAGTAATCTGCATGTTCATCCATTTCCAATCACACTCATTCGATTGTAACATTTCAACGTAATGGTGAGATAGTTGTTCTTTGATCCTATTTTTATACTTTTTAGAATAAGGTGCTTTAGGGGAAGGTGGACTCAGGACTGTGCATACTCAAATAAACAAGAAAAACTCGCTTACGACTTTAAATTATATTGGAGGTCATATTTGGTAATGGTGTAATATATAATAACCCTAAATACAACTATACAAGGTCCAGTTATTGACTGAGTTATGGCTCTTTAACAACTCTAATACAATAATTACAAATATTTATTAATCAACGGTAACAAAGGTGTTAAGTTACGTTTCATGATCTCAAATGTGCATCAGTGAGTAATAACCCAAAGGTTGTTAATTAATCTTTCTTTATATATCTCATTTTTTAAATAAAATTTATATTAATGACCCATATTTTATTGTTTTAGCTTGTTAACAACTTACATTCCGTTGATTCGAATTCGGATGGTGACACAACAACACATTAACACAAATAAGAAATAACTTGACTATATATAGTTTACCAAAAAAAAAAAAAAAAAAAAAAAAAAAAAAAAAAAAAACTTGACTATATATATGTTATCGTCAACTAATTTTAGTTTCCTTTTAGTTATGTAATATTTTATTATTTTATATAATATATGCTTAAATTATGTAATGTATTTTAGTTTAAACTAATTTTAGTTTCCTTTTAGTTATGTAATATTTTATTATTTTATATAATATATGCTTAAATTATGTAATGGATTTATTATGAAAGTTTAAAGCATTAAAATACATTTTATATTATATTTATAATAAATTATTAAATCACTTTTTTTTTTGGGCCTATGATAAAATCCTACGCTTCTTGATGGACTAGGCTAGTTTAGGAATGGAAGGAAAGCAAGAGATGTGGTTGGGCCAGGTAATCTAAGGAAGTTGAGAAGGTTGGGCTAGGGCCTATGAAAGTTCGGACACGTGTCATTGTAAGAACAAAATGAAAAAGAAAAAAATGTCTGAGCCCGGGTTCGAACCGGGGACCTCTAGTGTGTGAGACTAGCGTGATAACCGACTACACTACCCAGACTTTGTTGACAATATTCCTTAAATTATTTTATTGTACAACAACATCACCAAAGAGCCATCGAATGATGCGGCGGTGTGATTGTCGCCGCCGGTGTGGAGAATCGTTACCGTTATCGTTACTATGAGTTTGTTGCCTATTAATTTTTCTCCACTGAAACATCCCAAAATTTTCGCAAATTTCTTATTTGATCTCATTGAGCGTTTTATGTTCATTCACTAAAACGCTGCGTTTTATGTTCTTCTTCTTCTTCCCAAGTTCACTTCAACCTCAAACACTTGGTCTCTTAATGGCTCACTCTCAGGTAATTCAAAACAAAACCCTAATTTCCGTTTCTGAAAATTCGATGTCTTGCTCTGATTATTGAATCTGTTATAGGTTGCGTATTTGATTCCATTGAAAGCTGATTTAAAGGAAGACAATTCATCTCCAAGGATTACTTTATACGAAGGTCCAAACATCATCGGTCGCGGCAACGTTTCAATCGTCGATAAGCGTCTCAGTCGCAAACACATCACCATTATCGCTTCCACGTCTGGCTCAGCTTGGTTGTCAGTGGTAAAAACTATAAACAACATTAAAAAAAAACCTAACTTTGGCTTCTTAGGGAATTGAATCATATCAAGTTTGTGTCTTTTCGGGTAGGAAGGAACAAATCCGGTTGTTATTAGGTCTTCTGGTGACGGAGAGAGGAAGAAAGTGAAACCTCGTGAAGAGGTTTTAGTAAGTAATGATGATCTTATTGAATTGATCCCTGGTCATCATTTCTTCAAGCTAGTTTTGTTACCCATTGAAAACAAAGGAAGCTATGAAAGAGTTGCTAAGAAAGCAAAAAAGGTTACCTACTTGGCTTAACTAAAGAATGTTGCTTTTTTGGTTTCTTTGAGGCTTTGTTTGATGTGATGCAACTGTATTAGGCTGAAGATGATGTAGAGGCCATTCGTCGTTTTTGTCCACCTAATGAGAAACTATCTTCAACGTTTCGGCTTTTGAGTGTTAATGGATTGCCTGATTGGGCTAATACATCTTGTGTTTCCATTAATGATGTCATTGAGGTTAGTCTTATGCTAAACATATTAGTTAATTTGTTTTGTTCAGACATCATGGCTAAAGATTGTATTTGTAAATGACAGGGAGACATTGTTGCTGTAATCCTATCGAATTATATGGTCGATGTAGACTGGTTAATGTCAGGTGAGTTTTTTCATATTTTTGTTTGTTGAGTTTGTCGAAATGATTAGTTATTTTGTGTACATTCATGGGGTACTAAGCTGGCGTTGTTCTATTTTCGGTTTTCTGGAGTCTGTTAACTTTACTCAGTTCACTGCAAATATCCTTTTGTAGCTTGCCCGAAACTGGCAAACATTCCCCATGTTATGGTCATTCATGGAGAAGGTGATGGTAGACAAGAGTATATTCAGGTTTGTTATGCTGATTTCTTTTGATTGATGTTAATGGTAGACTGAAATCTCCAACCTCTCTTTTGTTTGACAGAGGAAGAAGCCAGCTAATTGGATTCTTCATAAGCCCCGGTTACCTATTTCATTTGGGACACACCATTCGAAGGCTATATTTCTTGTGTATCCTCGAGGAGTGAGAGTTGTAGTGCACACTGCGAATCTGATCCATGTTGATTGGAACAACAAAAGCCAAGGTTTGTGGATGCAAGATTTTCCTTGGAAAGATGATGACAAAGATCCACCTAAAGGTTGTGGATTCGAAGGTGATCTTATCGATTACCTCACTGTTCTTAAATGGCCTGAGTTCACTGCAAACTTGCCTGGCCGTGGTAATGTCAAAATCAATGCAGCCTTCTTCAAAAAGTTTGATTATTCTGATGCTATGGTACCTTCTATTTCTCTAAAATCTTTTGGCTTATTTGTTTTCTTTTTGTTTCAGTTTACTAATAATATGCAAGAAATTTTCAGGTTCGACTAATTGCATCGGTCCCTGGATACCACACTGGTTTGAACTTGAAAAAATGGGGACACATGAAGCTACGGACTATTCTTCAAGAATGCATATTCGATAGAGAGTTCTGCAGATCCCCGTTAGTTTATCAGGTAGTGTTCCTTTCCAAGTTTTTTTGTTGCAATTGTATTACTTCCAAAGAGTTTTCTTTTATAATTTTTCCATATGGCAGTTTTCTTCACTTGGTTCTTTAGACGAGAAGTGGTTGGCTGAATTTGGAAATTCTTTGTCTTCTGGTATAACAGAGGACAAAACTCCTCTCGGTCCCGGGGATCCGTTGATAATATGGCCTACAGTAGAAGACGTCAGATGTTCTTTAGAGGTAATCCGAACAAAGATTTCTAAAGATTACATCTTTTCTTATATATCTTATGGATTTGTCTTCTAAACCGTGAAATCTTCAAACAAAGGGTTATGCTGCTGGCAATGCAATTCCGAGCCCTTTGAAGAACGTGGAGAAACCATTCTTGAAAAAGTATTGGGCTAGATGGAAAGCGGATCATAGTGCTCGTGGGTAATTTAGAAAAACCAAACCTTTAGAAATCCAACTTATGATTACTACTCAATTCTGATCCTTTTTAATGTTACAGTCGTGCCATGCCACATATAAAGACGTTCACACGTTACAACGACCAGAAGCTTGCGTAAAGTTCATAAAGTCTCAATTTGTAGTTACCGTCATAATAAAAGTGTACCTTTAGTGATTAATGTTCTTGTTTTGCTTCCATAGATGGTTCTTACTAACCTCATCGAATCTTAGCAAAGCGGCCTGGGGAGCACTTCAGAAAAACAATTCCCAGTTGATGATCCGTTCCTACGAGGTAAAACCCAAAACCCGTATTTTCACGTAGCTAAGTCTGATCTTTGTAACCACTAACTACATTCCATTGACTGTAATATTGTTAGTTGGGCGTCTTGTTTTTACCATCTCCAATAAAAACACAAGGTTGTATATTTTCATGCACTGAGAGCAACCCGAGTACTATGAAGGTAAGATGATCTAAGATTCCTAAACATGTTAACCCGGACCCAAACTTTGATTTTTCCCTCTTAATTGTGCTTTGTCAACAGGCAAAACAAGAGAGGAAAGACGAAGCAGAGAAGAGGAGTAAGCTAGTGACCATGACCTGGCAAGGAGACAGAGATTCACCTAAGATAATCTCATTACCAATTCCTTATGAACTACCTCCTAAGCCATACTCAGCCGAAGGTTTTTTTTGCATTCATTTTCCAACAAATACCACTGCTTTCTTTCTCAAGTTATTAACGTTTTTACTGGCATTGTGATTTTCAGATGTGCCATGGTCATGGGACCGAGGCTATTCGAAGAAAGATGTGTATGGACAAGTCTGGCCAAGATAGTTGATGATAGCTTTAGTAGCTATGACTGAGACTTGAGTGAGATAGTGGCTTTATGGATTTTACTCACTCACTAAGCGATCAACAACCAGACGGATAAACAAAAATTAGTGTGAAAACAGATTGAAATATGTGGATTAATCCGGATTAGTCCACCAATGGATAGGATTAGTATTGATAAAGTTCTTTTAATTTTTAGTCTGTGAAAGAAAATTGACCTGTCAGCTTCAGTCTGCCGTATGAACGAGGTGGAAAGGTTAAAAATCTCGTGGGCCAACAGAGTATTTTACGTGTTGGCTCATTTTTAATTTTATATATGTGAAGGTTACATCATTAGTTCAGTGGTTTAATTAGGCAAGTCATATTATTGTTGAAAATTTGTAATTCTTTTTAGTCCACATTTTACTTTAGTTTGAGGAAATTGAATTTGATTAACCTGTCAGACGTTTTTACTTCTATATCTGTAGAGTCCAAACATAATTAGCATAAGTGATAAGTACGAACTACAAACACAAAACATAGACATAGAAATTGGAGACATAAGTATTTTTCATATTATTATGACAGAAGTGTGTCGTTGGTTACAAGAAACCTACGATTTAAATTCGAGACAGAAAATCAAGAATGAAAAAAACGAAAAAACAAGAAAAAAAAAAAGAAGAATTTTTGGTGGTACATATTCGATAGACATTTAGAATACAAACAGACGCAGACAAGAATTCACAATCAATGTCTACATTTCCAAGAACACCCGTCCCTCTCTTTGATGATTTGGCCTTTATCATATCTATCAATATTTTAAGATAATAGCATTCATAAGTTATTTGCTACTAGTTTTTGATATGTAAATTTAGTCCTCGAATCTTGAGGACAGCCAATCAAGATTATGATACTGATTAAGAACGATCTTTCTTCTATATTCTGACCATTCACAACTTGCCACGTCAGTAGCCAAAAGTTTGGATAGTTTTTATCCAATGCCTTGAGACTTAGGATAGTATGCAGTAGTAGTGTCTAGAGAATTGATATATAGTATCAACATGCTCGGTTATGTTCTTTTATATATGGAAAATTTCGCATGGCTTTTCAATCTCGAAAATTATAAAAACTCTTGCTGATTAGTTGTGATTAAAGATGCCACAGAATTAAAATAAATTTTTATTTTGGGTATTGTTATAAATTTTCATGAGATTTGAAAATATTTGACAATGAATGTATTGGATCAAGTAGGTTCTGTGTATATTGTTTTAGGTCTCGTCTTATCTCAGATTTAAGATTTCTAAGTATCTTGAGATGATGAATTTTTCAGCTTTTTTCGAATTTTCCACTTCAAAAAAGTAGATAATGGGTCGATTGACTATGTCCTTATGTATTAATTTTTTTTGTTTTATTTGTTATATGAGATTTCTTACATGCATGTATCGTTTAGTTTGACTTATTTATTTTACTTTAAAATAAATATATAGACTTTGGATAAATTTTTGTTGTTGACGTAGTTTTTAAACAAAAGAAACGAAAAATTGTCTGCAGAAGTTGTGGATTATGTGTAAGTTCCATATATTCTCCTATTGATTAAAAGAAATAAAGATGTTGAACATGTATAAAATTTCGGCAGTATTTAACTAATTCATCACTAAATCCATATACACTTTAGAGCACTCTTAAATGAAGTTAACTCGCAAATGTTTTTACTTTTTTTTTTCAGTAACATTGGGACACTAGTAAGAACAATTATGCTATAAATGCTGAATTTTGCAAATGTTCAAACTAAAAATAGAAAATTTTGGATATTGTTATCTCACTACCTTAGTAAAAAGATGGAGATAAGAAAAACAGAGAGGTCATGTGGGAGAGGGCGTGAAGGATGGGGATGCTCCCTGATTAGAGGGGAAAAAGAGTGTCCTATCATCACATGGGAGGTTAAAACTGGTTCTTATTTATAACTTCAAAATATTAAACATTAATAGTCCCACCTTTGTGTGCTCATCAGCAAACATTTTTCTTTAATATCCAATTTATCACACCATCTCCTTGTTTTCTAATACATATCAATATCATGCATCTACTTATCATCATTCATTTCATATCTTTTGCATATCATCATCATCATCATCATCATCATCATCATCATCATCATCATCATCATCATCATCATCATCATCATCGTCACGTGTTTTGATCTAACAAATGTTTTGTTGTCATTTATGACCAAAACAACATAACATGTATTTATAGAAGTTGAAACACTGATAGAATTAGATGAACTAAAAAGTATTTATACAAATTAAAATTACATATTGACGAATGTTAGTTTGGAAATCACATGTCTAAGTCTTTTAGAACTAGCTCAAAGATATTGGGTTCGACATATTGAGTTGATGAAATTCCACTTAGGCATTACATATAAATAAATATCGTAAGCATACACTATCGTCTATTGAGGTACACGTGATAGAGCTTGGACTAAGACTAGCCCCTCCCTATTGCCTAGGATAGATACCGTACGTTCCCTCAAATTGACCTAAGTCCATTGTTTTTATTTACCCGTATCTATATAACTGATACACAAAATCTTCTTGGTTTTACGTATCACAAATTCACAACGATCATAAAATAATTATATATATAGGTATATCTTGACTTTTTGATAGTATATCCTTGTTCTAAAAATCGGCCGCCTAGCCGCCTAGGCGGCCGCCTAGGCGCTGATCGGGTGGGGACCGCGGCGATTTTGTCCAAATCGGTAAAAAAAATCGGTGATCCGATTTTTGTCCGCCTAGACCGCCTAGGCGTCCGCCTAGCCCGCCTAGACGGCGCCTAGCCCAATTTTTTTTTTTTTTTTTACATTTTTTTTTTCTTTTTTTGGATCTAAAATTCAAAACGTCTCACTTATATTCATAATTTTTTATAAAAATCATAAATTTGACCTTAAATTCTTGTTTTCATGTGTTTAATGCAATTTTAAAAACAAGATTATATAAATTTCTTATTTATAATGGATTAATATATTTTTAAAACATTAAATAGCCCTAAAACTAATCCCCGATTAATCCCCGTGTAATCTCCGATTTTCTTGCTAGGCGCTAGGCGCACCCTCACCGCCCGACTAGCGCCTAGCGATTTTTTGAACACGGGTATATATATAGACGAGCTTTACACTAGCTAGTATAATAAGATAAAATCGATCGAGTGATGATATTTTAATGTTCATTGTTTCATTAGTTGAAATCAGAAATTGCTTCCCACTGTCAAAATTAGTTTCTCTATGATCACAACAGATTTCACAAGACAAATTATGAAAATTAGTCGAATTTTTGGATTGTTGTCGTTTGGTCTTTTTAAAAAATAATGATACATTCTCACAAACTCTCACCTCAAGGCTCAAGCAAAGCTAGTACATGTTATTAAGGTTGTAACTACTATAACTGATTATCACAAACGCTCAACTCAATATATATATATATATAGAGGAATCTAATGAGTATAATATGCATTCGACTAAAAAATGTTTTGGATTAATTATCAGTGAAAATGTTGTTTGGATATTTTATGCCAATCTAGATATTCATTTTGGAATTACTAATCGACAGAAAAATACAGTGTTACTAATCAACATTTCTTTCTTTGAAAAGATTTACATCATTGATATACTACAATATTAAAAATATAATAGCGATACACTAATTATAGTAGTCAAATATATATATAATAAAAAGATTTTGAATCTCTACATAATACAAATTTATTGCAAAAATATTTTTCAATAATAGATAATAAGTTCTACTCAAGATTTTGAAATTTGTTTAAGAAAAGCAAGTTTTTGTTATTAATTTGACAACCGAAAATTTTAGTATCAATTTTGCAAAGTTTTAAGAAAAGCAAGATTTTAATTTGTTGGAGATTTGTGATTAATGTAATTTTCAAAAGAAAAGAAGATTGGTTGTTTGTGAATATAAGAAAATAGAAAATCTGTAACTATTCTCAATATATTTATTGTTTTTAAATATGCGGTCTCTTTTTTTAAAGTAAATAGGTAAAAATTAGATTGACTTTTTTTTTGTTTTTGTCTTATTTGCCTTTTTCTCTAAACTGATTTTTTTCAATGATATAATATGTAATATAAATCAACTTTAAAGTTATTTATTTAAAAATGATCATCAAAAATAGTATTAGATAATATTAGACACATATACACATCACAATCTGATAAATTGTAAATTCACGTGTCATGTATCCAAGACTCCAATTCTAAACCACTGTTTTCTCTTGTGCACTTGTCGTCGTCATATCCAACACCCCTATTTAAGATTATTTGTATTACTCTCTCTAGAAGTGGTCCTAGCTCTCTATATAACACCATTTCTTCTCCTTCTTTCTTCTCCCTTTCTTTCGACAAGCACAAACAAAGCCATCAAGAGAAGAGAGCCTTTTCTTGGATTCATATACACAAGAATATTTTTCAAATCAAAATGTCGTCTAGCAGAAGGTCGAGACAAGCAAGCTCATCATCAAGAATTAGCGATGACCAGATCACTGATCTCATCTCAAAGCTCCGACAGTCCATTCCGGAGATTCGCCAGAACCGTCGTTCCAACACGGTAAAATCTCTTTAAAAGTTACTGTATATATAGAATCTTTTATCTACTAAGGTTTGGCATATAAGTAATATAAGTTTTAATTTTATGGTCTTTATTTAGGGTTAGTTACTATGTTTGATAGAGAAACACGCATATACATTATACAAACATGTTGGAATAGTGCATTTTAGTCATAGAATTACGTGTGGGAGATTGCATTTTGAAGTTTCTAAAATGACTTTTGACCATTAACCGGACTTTGAGGAGAGGAGGGAACATATTTCCCCTAACTTCAGCATTAAGCTTCTAATTAATTTTACTTTTATTATTGATTAATTACATTGAATGTGAGACGACTATATTGCTTCACGGACTATCAATTCAACACATTTATGTACAGCACCGACTTATTTTTATATTTAGTTTTCTTAGTTTTTATAAAACAAGAAAAGGACGAACTCTAGAAAAATAAGAAAAAGCTGGTTTCTATAAATGGAAGCATCGTTTTCTTATAGTACACACAACCAATCAGATTTGTTCTCAATTTTATAACAAATGTGTTAGTTTTTGATAAGTTATGAGCATTTATCTTAAGCGTTATTTTTAGATAATGCATTGTACTATGTCAAGCAATTAGCGTCAAGATATTTTTTTTAACATTTTAAATTAACGCATCATAACTTTAAGCTAAGACTTGTTGGAATATTTTATATATTAAAATCTTACTATAGAGTGTACAATTGTGAAAAATATTTGTAGGTATCAGCGTCGAAAGTGTTACAAGAGACTTGCAACTACATAAGAAACTTGAACAAGGAAGCCGATGACCTCAGTGATCGATTGACTCAGCTTCTGGAATCCATTGATCCTAATAGCCCACAAGCCGCCGTTATTAGGAGCTTGATTAATGGATAATATTATAAATTAATTAGTTGTGCTTATATAAGCTTAAAATCTCATTGAGAGGTTGATCCATCTATCAGGGTGTTGCATAATTATATATCTATTATGTTTCTTATATATTATTTACAATCCTAGCTAGCTAGGGTTCATATTTTGACCCTCTTTTGGTTTAACGTCATGCATGCAACCATTAAGCTTAAATTATAATAAATCATATTCGAGTAATTATTTAATTTAATCCTTTTATATTATATGTAATTAAGTACGTGTGTCCATTTGTATGTATGTGTTATACAAATGGATATATTATAGTATATGACAACCAAGAGATCCTTTTCAAACGAAATTTAGACTAGTCTTCGAAATTCATAGAAAATTTGATTAATACTATAATTTAAAGCGTACACAATTATCAACTTTAAATGAAAACGTAGTACTTTAGTAGGATGACTTAAAAAAAAAAAAAAAAATCTTAACCTTTATACCGCTATACATTGTTACAAATTACAAACTACAAAATGAAACATTTTTTTTTTTTTTTACAAAATGAAACATATATACTAGCAGCTTTTGTCATATAAGAAAAGAAAAAAACAAAAGACAACAATGAAAACGAACCCATCATGCAATAATATACTATTTGATAATAAAGATAATGATAATTTGCTATAAGTTGTATAGTATTTAGCTTTACATATCCGTATAAATTATCTGAAGGTTAACGAAATAGTACATGAAGTCAATAAGTCATCATACAAATCGATTATTTATTTTTACATTTTTGTGACATCAACAAATCAAGTATCTAATTTGTGTAAATATTTTACAGTCAAACTGTATGAGACCCGCGACGAAGAGTAAGAGGTGTGAGCATTTTTTAGAAAACTCTTTGGCTGAAATATCAAGTGGCAGGATCACACGAATCTTGCTAATTAATGTTGCAATAAGGACACAATAAAGTAACGCAATTTTTGGCAACAAAAAAAATACTAGTATAATTAGTACAGAGTTCAACATAAATTAAATCACATTCTAAAAAGGAGTTTGTCGTCTTTTGTGAGCAGATGTGAAATACAAATGACGTTAATACTTAGATTTGTCGGAGAATTGGGATCATGAGCCACAAATTTTGCATAAATTAGCGTAGTATTTAAGTTAATATCTCACATTTTATACAAACAACGATATGCATATATATAATTACTAGCATTATGGCCCCTGCTATGCATGGACAACATAAATGTCAATTTACATCATATTTCAAAATATTTTGGAAAAATCAAACATATGTTTGTTTTTTATAATGGAAGTGCATTGAATCCATTAGCTACATAATGATTAATATAAAAAGTTATATATATATATATATATGTTAATTACTTTCGTTATAGTGGTTTCATCACTTAAATAGGAGATGATTTGGAAAAAAGGATAACTTTGAGATCATGGGGGAAGTTAGGCATGTCAATCGGGCTAGCCCGGCCCGGCCCGGCCCGAAGCCCGCAAAACCCGTACATATTTGAGCCCGGCCCGGCCCGGCCCGTAAAAATTCCGAGCCTATATTTTAAAGCCCGGCCCGGCCCTAACAGGGCTACAAGGCTTTTTCGGGCTTTTTTGGGCTTTTCTTCGGACAACAAAAAAAACAAACTTATAAGTTATAAGATCTCTTAAAAAAGAATCTATATATGAAACGAGTCAATCAAAATTTAAATAACCACTAACGCTAATTTAGTTTTTTAAAAAGAGAGTTAAAATCAAATAAATAATCCAAATAAATTGTTTAAACTTATACTAGATAAAATATAAAATCAAAATAATTCAAATTAGGTAGTAGAGCTAATATTTGCTTTTTCGATTTATAGTAATACACAACAAAAAAAACTATGTTTAGAGTTTTCAACTCTGTCAAACAATTTTTTTACAACAAATCTTACAATTAAAGGAAAATATTAACAAAAAAAAAGATCAAAATATTTTTTAAAGGGCTTTTCGGGCTAGCCCGAGCCCGGCCGGGCTAAGCCCAAAAAACCCTTTAGCCCGAACGGGCTTAGCCCGAAAGGCCCGATATTTTCTGGACATATATTTTTAAGCCCGAGCCCGCTGTTTTTCAGGGCTGGGCCGGGCTAGCCCGCGGGCTTTGGCCCTAATTGACATGTCTAGGGGAAGTAGTGGTTGCTAAAAAAGTAGTAATATTATTTATTTTTTTGTCAAAATTTTTTCCAAGAATAGTAGAATTGGATTACGTGAAAGTGAATGAGCAAAATTTGAGAGTTTTGCCACATGTCAAAAGGAGAGTGTTGCAGTTTTTATTAAAATGACTGTTGATTTAGTATAAATAGATAAGACAGTGACGTAGTTTCGGATGAAAAACAAAAAAAAAAGACAGGGATGTGACTTTTTTTTTTAATTAGTATGGAGATCTTTCATGATTTGTTACTTACCGGTTGTTTCAAGAATTTGTGGACTTCTCTCTTCCATTTATACACTGGGCAATTTTTTTGTTTAAATATATTACATAAAATAAAATGTTTATAATAAACCACTAAAGATAAATTTACAGGATACAACGGTAAAGTAGTTAAATCGGTTGAAAATGAATAATACTTTGTAGCTTATAATAACAACTAACGAGAAACTTTTGACTATGAACTTTTAGTAAATGTGGACCTTTTAACATAAACCTTTGACTTTTTTGGTTACGTAAAACTAACTGATAAAGTAATTCGCTATAGTATCGTTTTCTTTAAAGGACATAAATTTCAATAATTTCCATGATCTAAAAAGATTTGGATTTTCGTCCTAAACTTGAAGGCACTAGCCACTGGTCATATAAATAGCATAGTCTTTTTCCTTAGCAATGTACTCGAATGACATTTCCAACCGATATCTGAACTATAACTAAACCTGGAATATATGGGTTCTACTGTTCACAACGACCACTATCGATTTCTCTTGATTTGTATGTAAGCTAGCTTTATTTTCTATCTATATATTTAAAACTTGGTTTGTTATTTGTGAACAGTAATTTACCTGTAATTGTTATTTTATATAGTGACATGCACTGATATTCGAATCAAAATTATAAATTCCCACAGTAAAGTTGGTGGTAAGTACTAAGTAGGGATCCATATATGGTCCCTTTCAACTGAAACCTACATTAAATTAGATACCTATATTATTTAGGGTGTATATATATATTGCTATATTTTAGTTAATTGTTATGATTTTTACTATATGTTATTCAATTACATTCAACCAAATTGATGTTTTAGATTATTATTTTTCTTCTGAAACTGAAGTTTTGTTAGTTCTTATGCTAATACACTAAATATTTTCTAATTTAATATTATGAATATTTAAGGTATTATTAATATATATTACATATAACACATTTTGTACTAGCTAGCAAATGTAAAACATCACATTTTCATATCACTTTTATCAATAATATTGTGTCGAATTTGAGGGTAGATGGTGACACATATTTAAGTTATAATAGCGACTACAAAATTTGAATACTAGAACAAGACAGTATAGAAAGACGTCTAAACAAAACTATAGAATATATACTAATATAATATATATAGAATACGAAAGAAAAATAAAATATCGGTTTTTTTTTCTTTTTGTTAAAAATATCGGTTATAAAATTCCAAAACAAATGTAATTGATGGGTCATAAAATAGTGAATGTTGCTCTACCCTACAATTTTGTTATAACTACCGACATAATTGTTCACACCGTTGGACAAAGGAAACATCTAAATTTCTCATTTGTTTCCTTTTTGTGTGTTTTTTTCTCTTTTTAATGATATAGAAAAATAAATAACAACAAACAAAAAACACAAAAGTAAAAAGTATAAAAAAGATGAACAGAATTACTTACATTCACGGTTAAGGTCGTTATCACTGTGTAACGGTATTGTCAAAAAAGGCCAGTCAATGTTAGTCAGTACCTCTCTGTCCTTTCCCACATTTTCCGCGTTCTTTGACTTTTCAAACCCAATTTGCTAATAATACCCACATTCTAATTTCGATAAACAGGTTTGTTTAGCTGATAATCTAGGCATTTCTAACAAGTAAGAAACATATTTTGAAGAAGCAGGCTTCTACGTTCTGATGGGCTACGAACCGAAGCCCATTATTTATTAATTCTTTATGGGGTCTCTTAAAGGCCCAATTAATTAGGCCCATAATCTCAGCACACGTGATTTCAAAACTTAACGCGAGCAAGCATCATTAGAGAGTATTCTTCACGCGCGAGACACTGTGGTGAACACTAAAGAGACAACAGAACTTCTATAGGCCCATGAAACTTAACACCACATCTCAAAAGGGGATGAAGTTCATTGAGTTGGAAAGTTACATACTTACATATAATGTCAATTTATTGCGTTCAACAATCGTTTATGTTTAGTTCTTACACATTTGTAGGTAATGGTTTGGTATGCAACAAAGACACTGTGCTTTGTAAGTAAAGGTGATTGTACGATTCTAACATCTAGATAAACTGTGGTGTATAAAGAATGAATTGATATACTTGACATGATTACCTATTAAGATAATCGCTCAAACGTGACCTAACCTAGTTCTAGATATTTTGCTTGCCGCATGATAATAATTGTGAACAAAGGAAACATTGCGTTAGCTTCGGTTAACAAAAAATAAGAGACTAGATGGATGATTAATAACAACTACGGTTAATTTACCTATAAAATACATTAATATATGACTGGGTCAATATATAACATACAAGAAAAGAAAAGTATCAAACAAAAAAAAAATTTTAATAACGAGTGGAGAGTTGAAGTATCCCAAGAAGGAGAGGAAGCAGAGCACATGGGAGCAGTGGAGCTAGTTGGAGAAGCTTAATTCAGAACATATATTTATATTTTCTTTATTATATTGCAATGTTTTTTAAGAAGACATTTCAATAATTTTCTGCAACAAAAGCATATTGCCAAAGGGGATAGATAGATAGGTGTTAATACTCTTTCAAATCTTCCCAATACAAGCATGTGAAAGACCTTGTTGTA